ATTCCAAGATCTCGTGAGCGTTATGGACAGCTGGTTGCCGCTGCTGCATTCATCTCTTGTAGCTGCTCGAACGGGTTTCTTTGCTTTCACCTCTATCTATCCAGTCTTCTTTTCTATTCGAAGACTTGGCTATTCTTCCACATTCATTCGAGCATTTGCCGGCCAGATCCGTTGTGGTGTTTGTGTTAAGTGAAAATCCGTCAAAAGTCTAGAGTAAGCGATTGCACCAGTTTTAGTCCATTGTTTTTTCTAGGGACGACGAAATCACTTTTAAGGTTCCTTTGCGGTGTACTTAAACTTTTAAACATCAGCGCGCTGTTACTTATGGATTAAATTCGAAGAATTTTGAGTTTGAAAACCTCGCCATTGGAAATTTCAAGGCCGTCTTTTTTGCAGACGCTGAATTAATCATACTAGGTTTCCTACAATCTTCATTTGTTCGCTCATTCAGCTCCTTTCAGAAAAAAGGGATCGATTTTGTGCACTTGGGAGTCCAAGCGTTGCCTCAAGCCTTTTTAGCTACAGCAGCTTCCTTGGAATAATTAACCCATGGTTTAATGTTGTGGATTCCGAGGTTTTGAGCAAAGTAGCTTTTTTAGCCAACATTTTCCATGTTGCCATATTCTTTAGGGTTCAACGTCTCATCGCATGTTATACTTTCGTGCTGGTTGAACCCCGTAGGTCACTGTGGTTTGTAGTTATAACGTGATTTTGACCTTTGAGGAATATTATCGTCTTGATGTTATGGGCAGTTAACCAAAATATTTCACTCAATATTTCCGAAAAGAACAGCATTTCTTGTAGAATGAAATAAGAGGTCAAGGTTGCATTTATTATCTTGGTAACTCGTCGAAGGAGAATGTTCAACGGTTGAAGTGTGTAAGCTGAAGTCTTTGGGGACGGTCAACTTTCGCGAGAGAAGTGTATAGGCTGAAGACTATGGGGAAAATCAGGGAGGAAGTTGATGCAAATTGAATGAATTTGCACCATTCAAAGGATTTAGTTCAAAGGATAGGGAGATGAACACTACGAGTTTGGGAGTGAGAATATAAGTTTTCTGAAACCTGAATCGTCTTCGGAGATTTTCTCTCCCTTTTGTCTTCCTTCATTCTCATTTTGTTCGCCTCACTTGTCACAATCGTATTATTTCTGGACGGTTTTTATTAGTTTCCAATTTCCTCATCTTCCCTTGCGTATTGCTTCATAGGAAAGAATTTGTAGTCTTGCTGAGGGAGAGTTGAGTAATTACCACTCAGAGAGTCCGGACGCTGTTTATCGTTGTGGTGTCGTTTACTTTTGTTTTTATCGGTGATTTTCGTGGTGCAAAAACGCTTGAGGGCGCTCATATATCTTCATTTGAGGTGAAATGACAGCAGCGGTAATGGTTCCTAGAGTCAATACATCTGCATGTCCGGAATCCATCGAGTTCACCGAAGCCATAAAGGTAGGTTTCCTTTTTATTCTGCCTTTTTTGCTGAATACGATGGTCGATGGTCTACGCTGATCTTTTAAGTTTACGCCTGATCTTGTTACGCGAGAGCTTGGATGCTTTTCTGAGATTTCTCGCTTTGTTTCTCATTCTTGGTTCCACTTCATTCTTATTCGACTGCGGTCCTCGATCTTTATAGTGCTTCAGCTCCACTGTCCTCTTTTTTGGCTGCTTGCTGTCATCAATTGGAATCAGTTCTGACCAGGGAATGCTTTGAACTTTCCACAGAATTTTGAAAATTCTTGGGTAGCTAATTGCAAGTATTGAGAGTAAAACTGTGAACTTTTTATCATGATAGTTCATGAGCACACGAATGCGTGGGTTGTGAGCAAAACCTAATCTTCAGACGGGGGTGCAAAACCCGGCATCACGAAAGCCGTGCATTCCAATGGTTAGCTCAAAGTTTTGGCAAGGACGTCAACGGAGCAAGCTTACTGTTTGCGTAGCGATCGATTGGGGGAGGCTAGTCGGTTAGGGTTTTCAGCTCGACAAGTGGTCTGGGTCTGTTACCGTCGGATCCAGCGCGATTTTTGCACATTTTGTTTTGTGGAACAAACACAACGATGGTTTCATTGGGTAGGGAAAGACTAACAATGATGACCAACGTGCATTCGTGGTAGTGATATGACTCGCGATAAGACTGCTGTAAAGTTACAGGTTCTCATGAATTTGTCAGAAAAAAACCGTAATGTCAGACTAGCTCTGGGTGGCCTCTGCTCCAAAAATAAATCTAATGTTCGTGTTTAGGACACACAATTGTCCTATAGAGGAAATTTCAGCAAAAGGCGAAATTTTCCCCCAACTTCAAAAAGGTGAGCAGCACCTATTACCTGGCCCCGACATCCTTGGCTAAACGCAGGTTACTTCGTCTCATGACGTTTTTTCGCCAACTTCAAACAACTTCAAAAGCTCATAACTTTCGTAGAAAGTTCACGTAGCAGTCTAGTGTCTATGATGGTAGCGTTCAAGAGTCGATCGATGCACCTAGGCCTCCCTATCAAAGTTCCATGGAAGTTGCATTCCCTGGTGAGTCGTTGACGCTAATATAGACTGCTGCTATGTGACAGGGCCTGGTCATCATAAGTTTTCTCAGAAATTTCATACGCCTCAGCAGCAAGTGGTTTCAAACCAAGAACATACGAAATGAAAGTCGAAGAAATGAGGTTCTAGCTTCTTCTTCTTCTCCCTAGCGTTAGTCCCGCGCAGTCGCAGGGTCCGCTGTTTTTGTCAGCCGTCGCCACTTTGCTCTGTCCAGGGCATCTTCCATCGTGGCCGCGACCTCACCTAGGTCCTTCTTGATTACGTCTTTCCACCTTTTCTTCGGGGCTCCTCGCGGTCGCTTGCCTTGTACTTCGAAGTCCATCGCTGTTCTTATCGGATGGTCCTGTGGCCTCCTTAGCACATGCCCATACCATCGCAGACGCTGTTCTCGTACCTTTAGCTGGACAGGGGCAGACTACATGACCGCTCCGACGTCCTCGTTTCCCTTGTCCAGCCGCGTCCAAATGCGGTTTTGAGCGTGTGGTATGTTAAATGGTATCAAATCGCTAAACGATGGAGGGAAACTTCCTTTGAATAGAATGGGTTAGTGTCAAAGCCTTATGAACGTATTGAAATTTCTCAGCAGCAGATGAAATTCCTGCTGAAGCCAGCACTCATTGTTTACCATCTCTGCATGTTACGACCAGAACTAAATATTTATAAGCTTGTCACCTAATAACCAGAGGTAGACGTTCGTGGATCGCCTGAAATAGAATTCAAGGTGCAGGCAAAATTGGATAGGGGTTTTACGAAAATCTATCCCAACTTTGGGTCGGTCTCCAAAATGTTTCAAAGTGAGTGAAGATGCGTCTTTCAGGTTCACACGTTCCGTGCAGCTGTTGGGCTCAAACATAGTACACATTTCAGTACGTTCTGAAAATAGGTTAATGAAGTGAGTTATCCCCTTTAAATAATCTTGAAAGGTTGTGATATCATTATATTGTTTATATACAAAATATGTCACGAGAGTATGAATGGAGACAGCAGGACCTATTGTCTCTCGTTTCTAGTAAGTTTGTGCTTTCCTCGGCTTGACCTGCAAGAACTGAATTTTTGCATCTTCTTAACTAAAGAGGTAGTAATTCAAAAGCCAATTATTTGCTTGTTTTGTAATCGGTGAGGGTACATGTTGAGCGCAACCGGCTCTGTGGCATGGGCGCCAGACATTTTTGCGCTATGCTGATTTGAGATTTCTACGAGTTGAACTGCCCCGGGAACAACTTTCTAACAAAAATCCACAATCATGGACAAATTTCGGTCGGGATCTGGCCCACTTTTTGAGGAGTAGGGCAAGTGCGAAAGTACTTTTTTTCGCACTACAATTCTATCATTGGATTCCTTGAAATTCCAATATATGTGGGTTGCCGCTCTTTGACCGTCGTGAAATTATTTACGACTGGCTGTAGATTCTCTGCACCGTTGCGATCGTACACGGCTGCCTATACGATTCCACCACTTATCGATGAATTGCTTCAAGTTGGACACCTTTTGCAAAAAAGGGCGGGGGCGTACGTACCGGTTAGCTCGACGGTAGCTTTATTCATGAATGCAGCCAAGACAGCATCCTTACAGGGGGGGGGCATACTCACGTAACAGTATCACATGACGCCTAACAAAAATAACGTGGGCATTGTAAGTCTGTAGTTGTCGTCGACAGGTAAGTCGTGACGTCTTGAACCTCAGGAGAAGCATGAAGAAGGGAACACTGCCATACGCGAGTAAACTTAAAGGTGATCAGAGCGCTGATTTTTCCAAACACAACCAAAATAGAGGGTAGTCAGATAATAGTTGCTCACAGACCACTACCGGCTGCACATGCGCCACGGCTTCGTCGAACCAGAGGAGTACAGGAGAGACAAAAGTGTGAAGAGATGATGCCAAGAGCTGGAAAACCTCGAAAAAAAAAAGCCTTTTGGTCTCCCGCGACCAAAAGCGAATAACGCGCGTCGTCGTGAATGTGTTAAATTTGCGGCTGCTGCATTCCACTTTTATTTAGGCTATTTGTTGGGTAGCGAATGTGCGACCTACAAGCAACCAACGTTTTCACGAATTTGTACTAAAAAGATGAATCGTTCTTTCGAATCGTTCTAGTTCCGATTGCGTGCTAACCTACGCGTAAACTCAGCACTCCGGTGGCAAGTACAATAATTAGCCGTGGCGTTGTGGAGCGGCGCGTTTCGTTTTCACTTCCCTCCTGTTTCAACACGCCTCTATAAAAAGCGCGACATCCCAGCTTTGTGGCACATGATGAATAATGCAGCTGTGTAGGGGCACACAGAAAATAACAATATCGATACTGTGTAGAAGGGATTATTAGAGAAACTTATTTGGCTCATCTAATTTTTACCGCCAATCGTTCTGGTTATCCTTCTCTACTTGACTCTATCAACCAGACAATTCTTAAAGAGACTGTTGTCGTCGGCTATTTCGGCTATATGATTTCAGTAAACTCACTGCCTCTATCAATCAAATGAGCGACGAGACTTTCTCAGGGAATGTTCTTGCTCGAAATACGTTACACTCCCTCTCGGATGCGTGTGGCCGTTCTGTCAGCCTTATGAAAGATTTCCACGAACAGTCGTGCATGAGGCTTTACAGCTTAATCAACGCTTTTCTCAAAAAGTAAGATTTGAATAGTTGTGTATTCTTGAACTTCTATGGGTCTGGGATCATCAAGGCTTGTTAAGCTTTATTTCAGTGAGTTGGTGAAGGTGCAAGAAGCTCGCGTTCATTTCGATTCAATGTCTAATAGTATGGATGAGGCGCTGTCGCGTAATGCGGCTTCGACTCGAGCTCGTCCATCAGATGCTGCGGATGGTCGCAATGCTCTTACGGCGGTCTGTCTTACCTTCACGCTTCCCTATATTTTGAGCTATATTTTCGAGAGACAATCATTGTTAAGTGATCGCAGATAGATATCCTTTCAGGTCGGAGCTTGTTTTGCCCATACAACAATGGACTATGTGGCGCAGATAAATATCGCTCACGCACAAAAGGATCATCTCATTGTTGATGCGGTGGGTGTATAGAGTAACTTTGTGAAAAGTTAAGGATGTGAAACCCGTTCAAAGTACGTCATGGCAGCGGTCACCGTGGACAGCTTACCTTAGAGGTGTGGCCCAACGCTGTTCACCACTAGGACACTGGTTTTTCGCATGTCTAGCAAGGTATCATTACCTTTTTTGGGTCTATTCCAGTTGGGGGCATCATGATGCCGTTTTTCCACAAAGCTACG